GGCCCCCAGGCGGCACGGTCCCCGCCGTGGCTGGTGGTATGGTGGCCAGAGGGTCCTTCCTCCACCACACAGGCACCTCTCTGCTTTTTCGCTTCAGTATTTGGACAGGAAAATGGCTCTGCTCCTTTTATTTTGTTTTTGGGATGGGCTCTGACTGACGGGCACTGCTGCCTTGGTGCTGCCAGTGCTCTCCCTGCCCCAGGGCAGCTCTGTGCAGTGCCCTGCCTGCATCAGTCCTGCTGGCTGGAGCCAGCCCTGCCCAGCCTCACCCTGTTCCTCCTCCTTCTTCTCTTCCTCCTCCACAGTTCGATGCCGAATTTCGCCGCTTCGCCATGAAGCGCTCTGGCGCAGGCAGCTTCCAGGACTTCTACCGCCTGCTGCAGACGGTGCACCAGATCCCACGGGTGGATGTGTTCCTGGGCTACACGGACATCCACGGCGACCTCCTGCCCATCAACAATGATGACAACTACCACAAAGCCCTGTCCTCAGCCAACCCCCTCCTCAGGGTCATCATCCAGAAGAAGGGTAAGCAGAGCCAGAGGAGTGCACCGGATCTGGAGAAGGGTGTCAGATCCATCCTCCCCATCAAGGGAGATAAGCCACATCCTGCGGTACCACTGGTTCCATGTTTGGGCTGTGCCCGTGGCAGGGACCGGCGGCAGCCACCACTATGGTGGACAGATCCAGAGGTGGTGGCACCAGGAGGCTCCCAGAGCCCTGCCAGAGCCGTGGCACCCACATGGGCTCTCCCCAGCAGCCCTTCCCCATGGCAAAGGCACCCACGTCAGCCCAGCCCCATGTGCCCTGGCAAACAAAGGCAAATACTTGCGATTCACCCCTTTGAAGTCGCGTTTTCCAGCAGGGCTTGTGTAGGCTCCCGGAAAACACTGTGTTGCTCTCGTGAGCACTGTGCCAGGATCCTCGTCCGGCTCCCTGCCCCGAGGCAGCAGCAGCCGTCATTTTGGCAGAGCGCTCCGGGTGCCAGGTGCTGCTGAGTTTTTGGTGGTGGGAGGAGGCTTATTTCCTCCCTGGCTGCCCAGGGCTCACCCTGATCTCAGTGGTGCATTCCCAGAGAGCAGCTTGCTCGCACAGGAGTGCAAAATCACTGTGATAGCAGTGTCCCAGTGAGGATGAAAGCCTCCAGGTGACAAACACTCTGGGTATGTCTCCTCTTCACTGGGGAGATGAGCCTGTCCCCTTCCACTCAGTTTAGCAGCACCGAGGCTTTCTCTTTAGTAGCATCATCAAGCAACAGTGCGCAAAGCTGGAGCCTGATCTAAAAGCCCCGGTTTCCCCAGCATGGCACCCAGAGCAACTCTGTGTTTCCAGCTCATGTTAGTGGTAGGAGGTCCCTGGGTGAGAGGTGATGCCAGTTTTCCTGGGCTATTGCATCAAGGTGGTGCGGGATGCCCTGGACATGCATTTCCTCTGGGGCCACACAGCATGGGGGCCAGCAGCGGCAATCCAGGCTGCTGGCAGGAGGGAGCCAGAGCCTGCAGTGTGCTCTGGTACTGCCGCTGCCAGCACTGAAGCATCCCCTGTTCCTGGGCCAAGGTCTGGACCCAGGCTGCAGCACAGGGAGCCAGTGCAGGGCTGGGTGTGCTAGGGCTTCCACTGCATCACTCCTGCTCCTGGAGCCACCTTTGCTGCTGGGAAAAGCCTGCAAGGGCCCTTGGGTGATGTGGGTGACTGCTCTGCATAGTGCAGAGAGTGGGCAGCTGTGGTCCTGGCACGGTGGGCAGCGCAATAAGGAGAGTGAGAAGGCAGTGCCAGCAAGCCCCGGCACCTGGCCATGCCTGTGGGACAGGGGCCATGGGGCCGGCAGCACTGCAGAAGGTGTGCGGAGAGGCTGGGAGCAAGCCCTGGGTGAGTCACAGCTGATTTAAAATGGATCCAGGTCATCCCCAGGCTGGGCTGTCATTGAACCAGTCCAGGTTGGTGAGGAATGCAGCTGCAGAGACTCTCTGACACACCAGGCATGGGGAGCCGTGCACACATGTGTGTATGTAGGTGTGCACCTGTTGGTGTGCTCCGCGGTGAATGGTCCTGCCGCAGGGGATCAAAAAGCAAAGGCTGCAAGCTTGGTTCCTCTCTGTGCCGTCACCTCACTGGGTGAAGCTGTCCCCACAGGGCAGCCCAGCCAGGGATGGCAGCATTGGCCCTCCTTAGCTGGGCTTGGCTCACAGGAAGGGCAGGGGAAAGCCCAGCATATTGCCAGGGCTGCCGGTGGGCTCGTCCATGGGGTGCTGGACCTGCCCGGCCAACTGCTCGCACCCCTTGGAGAGGAGCTGTGAGCTGAAATAGCTGTGGGAAAGCCTCCACCACCCTTTCCTGAGCTAAAAATATGCCAGGTTGTGTGTGCAGGGAGATATTTATAACCCAGGAGCCCTGGCAGGCTGGCTTGGCTAGGGAAAAACCCTGCATCCCCTGGGCTTGGGGGCATCCCTAGTGTCCCTGTGGCTGGAGCAGGGTCTGGGAGCTGGTGGGAGACACTGTGGGGAACATGCTGGCAATGCAGTGTCTAGATCTGGGCTCCCCTGTGGAAAGGGATGGTGAGAAACCAGGAAGGGCTGAGAGGTTGCTCCCCAGCACCTACTGGATGCGACCAAGGAGGGGATGTGGTGGAGCTGGGCCCCATGGAGAAGCCCCAGGGCAGGGTCAAGGAGGATGGAGTCAAACCCTGTGTGGTGGTGCCAGATGGTGGAATAAGAGACAGTGGCACAAATCACAGTTTGGGATGTTTAGGGCTCCAGGGACGCTGCAGCCCTGGGATGAGTCTCCAGGAGGCCAGGAGTCTCCATCCTTGGGGATGGCAGGGCTCCACAGGACACAGCTGCGGCCATCCCCATCCCGTGCCAGCAATGGCCCTGCTCCAGCAGGGACAAGGGACTCTGGTGCTGTCTCATGGGGCTGGACTCGGTCTCGGGGAGCTGGCTGCCACTGCAGCACCCCCCTTGTGTGTGGGGGGGTGCCCTCTCCCCAAAAAGTGGGGCATGGCCGTGGCTCCGGGGCCGTCAGGGCTGGCAGCTCTAGTGTTAAGCTGCAGAGTTTGGCTTAAAGTGTGATTAAGGCTGAATCACTGCCTCGATCCCACTAATCCTGGCCTCATGTACACTGGATAATCCCAGGAGATGGCCCTGACGGAAACAGGCTGCAGGAAAAGCCAGGGGGATGCTCCAGGGAGGAAAACCCATTGAGATCCATGAGCAGGGCATTTCTCCCACTGGCTCCCCTAACACCTGGAGCCAAGGGCACACGGTTGTGTCCCGGGGCAGCTGCAGTGCCTGACCTATGTCCTCCCTTGTTCCCTACAGCAGAGTCTGATGCCAGTGTCTTCGCCTCAAACTCCCTGCAGCGGAAGAAGAAGGGGCTGCTGCGCCCCACACACTACCGGGCCAAGCCTCACCTCCTCATCGGCATGCCCCAGGACTTCCGCCAGATCTCCTCCATCATCGACGTGGACATCCTGCCTGAGACCCACCGCCGTGTGCGGCTCCACAAGCATGGCTCCGACAAGCCACTGGGCTTCTACATCCGCGATGGTGTCAGCATGCGAGTGGCTCCGCAGGGTGTCGAGAAGGTTCCTGGCATCTTCATCTCCCGCCTGGTGAAGGGCGGCTTGGCCGAGAGCACGGGGCTGCTGGCGGTGAGCGATGAGATCCTGGAGGTCAACGGCATCGATGTGGCTGGCAAGTCCCTGGACCAGGTGACGGACATGATGGTGGCTAATAGCCACAACCTCATCATCACAGTCAAGCCAGCCAACCAGCGCAACAACATCATCCGCAGCAGCAAGGCCTCGGGCAGCTCAGGCATGTCTACAGACAGCACCCCCAGCCAGCAGACCCCCAGCCCAGCCTCGCAGTACCTGAGCAACTACAGCACGGCCGAGAGCGACGAGGAGGGTGACCTGGTTATCGAGAGTGACAGCGCGCCCCACTACATCCCTGGGGGCTGCCCCAATGGGGGCCCTGTGGACAGACACCTCCAGCGGAGCCTGTCCCTGCACAGCTCACGGGGCTCCCTGCAGTCTCTTGGCAGCCACAATGGCAGGCACGGGCCAGGGGGGGGGACC